ATGTCTATTCTCTTCCAGAATACCAATCCGTTCTGGAGACCAAGCACTTACATGGAACCGAACAATTATCAATTACATTTATGTATTTCCATTTTGTATCTTATTATTTTATGCAGGCAGTGGAGCAGTTCTTCAGGTTTGCTTGATTTTCACCATTACCTTTGAAGTAGATTCTTCTTTACTTTTTACTTGAGGGCGACTCAAGAGGCAGGTGAGTAAACACCTGATAGCCGGTCTGAGCACGGAAAAATCGTACCTCACCAACATGGTGTTGGGTAGCCCGCTCGCGGCACTTCCTCAGATATTCTTATTCCACATTCTCACACTTTCTCTTGAAAGCACGCAGCAAACCGTCGGCGATAGTTGTAGAAGAAATCACATGCTACAAAATAAGATGACAAGCTAGTAAATGAAGAGACATCCATGGACTATCGTTGACAGCGTCAGTCGTCACTGATTGTAAGTCAAACAGTGAGCGAGTTGATAATTTTCCCTTGGGATGAGAAATAGAACTAAGGTGTTTTCGATAGTTAGGTTAATCGAACCGACGTTCCTACGGAAGTCGATTCTAGGGGGAAGCTAATGTAACAGCTTAGGTTGGTTGGTTAAGAGTTGACCCCAAACAACCAAGCATATGCCAAAACAGTATTGTTCAAGTATTCATTCACTTCCTTGTTTTGTATAAGCGTTATATTCCCTATTATCTTATATTGAATGTTGAGAGCCTTTGTTTGTCTGAACAGATAATCCCACGCTCCACTGTGACCGCGCTAAGATCGAAATAAAGACCTATTCACTACTTGTCTGGTTTCTTCTATCAATAGCACGAGGGTTACTTTAAGGCACGAAATACTCATGTGGCGATATTTGGTTTGACTTTTTAACGCGACACAGAAATTTCTATTTCATTTTATTTTTTCATTACTCAGTACCTCAATATCCTTCAGTAAATTTGATGAGTTCTGTACTGAAGTCACTCATGTCAACCATGTATAATGCTGGGTATAATACTCTTAATAGCTGTCAAGATATCCGTTAAAGCAATGAACACGTTTTGTCAACCACACTATGATAACATTGATATTAAATGATCGTGCTACTTTAAGCTTAATTTGTATGAACTTATTGTAAGGATAACGGTTTTGGTGAGACTATAATTTATGGACGATCATTGAGCAACGCTTAAGAGACCTTGAAAATGTCCCTCTGCTTATTAAGAATAAATGATGTTTGCAGTACACTACAGTTGATGGTTGGGGTTACGAATCGCATTTATAGTTTTCATCAAGGAATGACACCAGTTAAAACGCCAACACGTTATTTAGACTATTGTGTGAATGAACTTTAAGCGAAAATCCAAGATCTGTCTGCCTTAATCCGATTGATTTGTTCATAAATGAAAATTTCGCCAATGCTTTTGTAGATAAAGAGATGTAACGTAATTTGTATAATGAAAATTGAGATTGTTCGAAATCAACAGCATTCTAAGTTGGATCATCATCGAATGTGTTCTTTTCACAAAGGCCTAACCGTAATATGCGTGAAAGTTCACAATTCTGTTGCTATGCAAGTAACGGCTATCGATCAGTAGGAATTCAGAACCCTTTTAGTGCTGAATGATAAACAGTAATCATCATTTACTAATCCATATGTAAGGTTGTCATCGAAATACCATTCTTCTATGCTTTTATAGTAATTTGAGATTGTAGTTATCTACTTTTATCAAAAGAACGCGATTGGTTTAATGAAAACAATTTATAATATGAACGATTGTACCACGGATTGTTCTACCGTACCTGCTTGTTCAACTGTACGTCGTTGCGTTGATTGCGACCTTGCACGCGTTTAAGTTTGCTCAGTGATTCCGCTCGTACTCCTTTGACACGATCTCGGTATTCTGTCGATACCACCAGGTCGCCAACAAATATATCTCGCTACAACCTTCAATCGCCCTCTGATATCTGATACGCAACCTTCTCGTACTGGTGATCATAGTCAACCGCGACTCGACTCCACACTACAAGATAATGGCTTGTGTCAACTGTCACTAGCTCTTATCTTTCCAATTACAATATCCGTTAACTGTTAGACCACATTAATTCATGTAACTTTTAGCTGAACTCGTTGAACAGTGTTTTGCCACAGTGCACTTTAAACCTACTGTATAAATGTATGATAACTTAGAATATTCACGTTTTAACTGAACTACAGTGAACGATTTCTAGTAGTTAAATAGTATAAAAGATATTTTCGTTGTGTCTTACAACCAAACAACACAATTAGATGACATTAGACGAATAACACGCGACCACAACTATCGAGAATGACAATCTATGCTTGACAATTAGCTCGATTCTAACTGTCCCTAAACGAAGAGGGAGAATACAAGCCCAATGATCACCAGTACAGGATCGTTATCCCATCTCAAACATTCATTTATCTACATATATGGGTAGACTACTCAGTAGACGTTTTAAGTACCAGCAATAACAACAACAACAAGCTTAATCATGGAAACAACGAAGTGGTGTGAATACAAGCAATCGATACTAGTTTATGAGTGAAAAACGCCATAGAAACAATTTATGATTCAAATAAGAGCTTCGAATCAGTATAGTACGAAAACAATCATTCCAAAATAATCGATAAACACTCAACCAGCATATGTAAATAAAGACGTCGGAAAATAGTGTCGAAACCTTTTGCCTCTTAATTAAATTGTCTGTTAGAAAAAAGTGGTAACTAATCAATTAGTAAGGTGGTTTGAATGTAAATATTTCCTTGTAGTTGTGTTGTTTTGTGTGTTGATGAACATATAGAAACCAGTACAAAGTGATGGATATAACCATTGTTTAGTTTTAAGTAAAGCAAATCACCAGTATACTGTGGTTTGTTGTTGAGGTTCCTATTTTACTATTCGTCATTAGTCATATGACTAATCTTACACATAATGATTATGTCCCAATTACTTAGTGTTTATGAATTCATTACATTCTACATTCAATTGTTTATTCTGGTGTAAAGTTACCATTGGATGAATGGATATAACATTACATCTGCACTGTTTGTTCGTTCATTTGTAAAAGATTAGTTTTAAACACTAGCGAGAAGGAACCATCTAAATTTTCGGAAAATCCAACTTTGATTGATTTCAATGAATTGTGTGGTATTTTTGATCGAAATTATGCATTAAATTGGTAGCTATTTATTTATTTACTTAAGCACATGAACATTATTACAAAGAGGCATCAAATAGTTATACGACCCGGGTGCCCGAACTGAGGCAGGTGATTTCCTTAGGGGACCACACCCGGATCCTTCGACCTAAGTTTCTGATCTACGAGGTAGTGGAGCAACGTCAGGAGATACAGTCCCATGATTAATGATTGGTTCATAATGAAGCCCATTTGCACCATTGGCTTAGAATCAGGGTTTTCCAACTTCCCACCAACCCTGTTAAAGCGCCGGATATCCACTTTTCGTCCTGTTAATTACGTAAACAACAGTTACGCCGCGAAAAGGCAGTGAGTAGAAATTCTCATATAGTGGTTGTATGCATGTGGCCATGTGAGAGCATTTGGAAAGGGGGAGCAGACTCTCCCCACTCCTGCCCATGCCAGGGCATTTGGGAGCGAATAAGTAGCTAATCACCAATTCACAACGTGAAGTAGTATTGTATTTTGTTCTTTCGGACTTAAGATTAGGTTGCAGCATAGCTACAACTCCATGTTCAAATATCGTCATATAATGGACCCATAGAAAGCCAGATATGATTAAGTATTCAGTGATTGGTAGTCTCGTTTCACAATAATATAGTTACATCATATGTGTTGAAGCTGATTGCGACAACATTGTTTTCAGAAAAAGTATTTTGCTGTGATGGTTTGCAACTACAATCACAATTGATGATGATTCGAAGTTGATAGCTATTTTCACTACGTCGAACCGACTTCATACAACATATCAAAACAAAATCATCATCAAAATACGAAGCCGATCGTCCATTCAATTATCTGCATAACATTTACAGAACTGTGACTACTTGTGTGTCCCGATAAACGAAAGGCAAGTATTGTGTAGTGAACGAGAAGAAACATATGGGGACAACTGATTGTACTTCAATATAAAATTATAAGTCTTCTTGATGAGATCGAACTTCATCTGTAGCTCTTCCAGAGTTACTGTCGGTGATTGAAGAGTGCTGGTATGCGTAAGTTGATGAAATCTGAGAACTATACAGTAAATATTTCATTTGCAAAATATCAATCAATTGTCGCAAACATCACTGTTCTTTCGTTTCCAGACCAATATTTCTCTGTTCTTGTTCCCTCTTCTTTGATCTTCACAACGTTCTGCCTTCAAGCATTTCACTTTCGATTGATAATACATACTACTTTCATCAGCTTACACCACAATTACGTTAGAGAAGTATAATAAACTGATTTTATTCATAACAAACACATTGTAACCAACTGTGATATTTAGAATGGTTGTTTCGTCCTATTTTGAATTTCCTAGATCAACCTACATACAGAACTGTCTTGATTGAAAAATCAGAACTCGAACCTATCACATCATACTTTGAACTCAACAGCACAAAAACTTATAATTAAAGACTATTTAATGGTTATACAAATAAAGCTTAATTAAATCGACATGAAACGATTTTTATTCAAAATGGACAGTTTTATCATAAACAAAACTTATCACTAAGCACAAATTATAAGTAAACACATCTGTGATTATTTTATTTTTCAAGTACCTGTAATGGCAATGTACAACAAATTAACCTTTGAAATCAAGATTTCCATTTCCTATACTATTTCATTTGTAATCTTATTGTGTATAAGAACTTTGATCAGCATTCTCAAGTGATCTGTGATGATTTGTATTTGGGTCATAACTCTGTTGAAGTGTTACATTTGATTGTAAACGAAAAACTGAAGTGGCTGAAATAATAAATGTGATTTTATCATACCATTGTAACTCAAAGTCCATTATTTCAGTTTGGTATATATATGAAACAATGGTTATATGATAATTGTTGTATTCGAGGGAGTACATTCACAAGAGTTGTTTAGATATGCTTACGTCTGTGTTGTGTATCGCTTCACTGGTAACTCTTCTCGATGCTCGTATTTCAATAAATAAAGAAAGATTTGAACCATTGTCAGATGACATCATCTCGTATATCAATCAACATGTAGGTTCTTTTTTGTAGTTATGTTGTAAATGGTATACATTTTAAAGTGATTTATGTTCTAACTGTGTATGATCGGTTGGATTAGAATAGATCTACTACTTTATGATGTAAGTAGCTTGTGTACGAAACGAGATTTGATTGAGGGGAATGTGCAATCACTCAGATGATTCCTCCTCTTAACAACTAGAATTCACCTAAAAAGTATTTAAACGACAGGTTACATTGTTTCGTACGCCATCAGCCTAATAATGATTTCATTTCATATATCTAAGTTCAATACAACAACTGATAGTTGAAAAAGGAACAAATCTAAATCTTCATATTTGAATTCTATTTTTGGTTCAAGATTGTCAGAATTGTTTCTCATTCAATCATGATTTCAACTTTTTCATTCTTCAGCCAAATGCTGAATGGAAAGCTGAGAAAAGCAAGCGTTTCCACTCACTGGATGACGCACGCATTCTGATGGGTGCAAGAAGAGAGGAACCAGAATTAAGAGAGAAGAGGCGTCCCACAGTTGACCATAAGGATTGGAATGTAGAAATTCCATCAAACTTCGATTCAAGGAAGAAATGGCCTCGTTGTAAAAGTATAGCGACCATCCGTGATCAATCACGATGTGGATCATGTTGGGTGAGTTATAATGATCGCATTATTTGTACAATGCTAGTATACAATGTTACAATGTTAGTATGACTATGAATATTTCTACACATGTGATTTTGTAGGAGATCTCACCAAACGTCAGGCAGTATCAGAGTCATATTATCTAGAGAAATTGTTTTTTTGAATGCTGTATGACAGCACATACGTCAATGTTGAGTATCACATCTGTGAACATATGTCCGGTGACTGAAATAACTGACGAAACAGGTCATGTTGAACTGAAGAGGCTTCCAAATATTGACCACTCATTCCACGTGAATACACTAGGAAAATCAAAACGTTTTGATGTTGTCATTGCTTTTTTCCAGGCTTTCGGTGCTGTCGAAGCTATGAGTGATCGAACCTGTATACAGTCACGTGGCAGACAATCTGTGGAACTAAGTGCTGTGGATCTAGTGAGCTGTTGCGAAGGTTGCGGATTTGGTTGTGATGGTGGATTCCCTGGTCCTGCTTGGGATTATTGGGTAGAGGAAGGTATAGTTACTGGAAGTTCGAAAGAGAATCACACAGGCTGTCAACCATATCCATTCCCAAAATGTGAGCATCATGCCAAAGGGAAATATCCTGCATGTGGCAAAAAAATCTACAAGACTCCCCGTTGTAAACAGACATGTCAGAAAAGTTACAAAATCCCATACGCCCAAGACAAGCATCGAGGTAGGTAATGTTTTAGACAATGATAACAATTTATCATGAAAACGTTGACTTGTCACTCACATAGATTGATCACAATATATTGTCAGAGTTGCTTAGAAATGATGCTTCTACATGCGAAATTATCCTTTTTAAGATTACTTTTGGAAGTTCTCTATTAAATGATAACAGTCTCATTTTCATTATCGTTTTATTCATCTGTTAGGTAAATTGTCTTACAATGTTGCTGATAATGAATTGTCTATTCAAAAGGAAATCATGAAGTATGGACCAGTAGAAGCAGCCTTCACAGTTTACGAAGATTTTCTAAATTACAAATCTGGGATCTATGAACATATTACTGGGGAACCAGTTGGTGGACATGCTATACGTATAATCGGATGGGGTGTGGAAAAAAACACACCTTATTGGTTGATAGCGAATTCGTGGAATGAAGATTGGGGTGAAAGTGGATATTTCAGAATACTACGTGGTCATGATGAATGTGGCATCGAATCCGAGGTAACAGCTGGTCGGATTAACTAATAACACAATCTTTAAACATTATCATAAAATTTTACTTAGAGTGAAGTCATTACAAATGTATACTGAATACTTCTGAGAAACGTTACATATTCATATTATCTTTTCATTCATTTTATATTATAAATAAACTGTTGCGAACTCTAACTAAACTCTTTACTGAATAAATGTCTTTGTTAGGCGTATTATCGTTACAAGACGTTTATCCAGATTAACAAAGTGACTAAAAGATGAATTATTTTCGACGAACTACTAAACCGTTGTCTATGTCCATTCATTGAACGAGTCCTTGTTCATTCCACTTGCATGTTTATTCAATTGAATTCATGCATTCAATATCACAAGTTTTAATCAAATTTAGAAAACACCAACTTCAAGAACCGAATCTCTTTTCAACCTGTAAAGTGGTACGTGTTCTCATTAGGCTAAATAGAAATTAATCATTTCTGTCTATGGAAATTCCATGCATTAGTTTAGACTTGTTAGTGATGAAATCTTGTAAATAGAAGTACAACTGTACTGAACAATAACATTAATGGGTACAACTGAATGTAATTGAATACAAAATCACAGAATCACATAGTAAAATCTGAGAACCATACAGTAAATAGTTCATTTGCAAAATGTCAATCCAATTGTCTCAAACTTCATTGTTCCTTCGATTCCCACCAATCATTCTCTAATCTCGTTCTCTTTTCTTCCATCGTCTTAACATTTCACTTTAGACTGGTACCTAAGAATGGGAGCTACCAAGATTTATTGATTGTCTGCTAAGTTAAATAGATTGAGTAGACACACAGCATGCAACTGCTGTTTGCAGATAAGAAATGTGTCATCCATTAATCTATAATTTGTAGTTCCATCAACTGCATGCTTAAGTTTTATCTAACTCAAGTTCTTCATAAATATATCAGTCGGAATCGGGTCCACGACCCTACCCATGGAGACTCTATCAACTTGACCGTATAGTAGATTGTTGAATCGAGTGTTTACTTTTGGTACCCAAGAATGGGAGCTGCTCAGACTTATTAATTGGGAAATGAAGAGTTCAGGATATTGATATACGATTCCGGCTGTTTATTCCATAAAGAGAGTAGTGACGTCGAAAGATACATGAATATATCGGGAAAATTTAAGTTATCAAGCCTCTGTAGAAATTCGAAACTAGTCTTCAGACTGTAGGTAGCTAACTTCTTGCAGACTGGTCCTGAACACCAGCAGATGATTTTGTGTAAAACTGATCTAGTCATAGATAATAATGACTCGGTCAGGATGTTAGGTTTCTGTATTGTTATTATTATTCTATCAATGTGTTCTGTTATGAGATCTTATCCAAACCAATTCTTACTTTGTGTACTTCAAAACAATCTCATCACCGACCTTTTCCAGTCACTCAATTCACAGAACTTAAGTAAACCCTTCAAATCCTGTCTAGTTAATACGCAACCCATCTGAATAATTTCTACTGCTAAACAATTACAAACCCATAAATATCTCATCAGATGGTTTGAATCCTACGTAAACTCTTTACGACTTCTTTAATTATCACATTATTCATCTTATATATTTCCAAACACCGCCTTACACACCCGCCTGTTTTTAATTCTACCTTCTAATGACCTCATAATTGTTTTTGCATAGATAAATCTGTATAGTTATTATCGATAATCTAAGTTATCGTAATTTTTTCCCGTCATCGGTGTCAATTATTTCACATCATATCATACCTCAACATTATACTGTAGGCCTATGAATAGTGGTAAGCAGCTAATATTATTCATTATTATTATTTAAACACATACATATTGGTATAAAAAGGGGCACGAAATGCATATGCCGGTGTGATACTGCCTGAGTGCCCTGACCGAAGCACGTGGTTTCTTAGAGGGCCACACCCGGAGTCATCGACATTAAGGTTTAATCCACAAGGAAGTGGAGCAACATTGGAAGATGCAGTTCTACAGTAACTAGTGACCAACGACTGGTTCATGCGCTTTTGGTTCCTTCAGGATCCTGGAATCAGCCCATGTGCACCATTGGTTTGGAATCAGGGTTTTCCAACCCTCCTAAATGGAATCGAAGTATTCACCAACTTAATTAAAGCGACAGACATTCGCTTTATCTCTTCTAAATTTCGAAAACAATATCCCTAACACGAGAAGGCAGTGTGTAAGACTCCTCTGATAGTGGTTGTATGCACGTGGCCACTTGAGAGCATTTCGAGAAGAGCTGATTCTCCCTTCTCTAGGCCGTACCAGGTCACTTAAGGGCATTTAAGAGTTAGATTAGCATACGAATATGCAACCGTAAACATGCTCATTTAAGTTTCTGAATTCTTACTTGTTTGCCGTAAACAGTAGTATCTTATCCATCATTAACGTGTTAAGTTCTAATATTGTTTTTAGGAAACACCTTTATGTGACCAAGGTTATCTCAAAATAAAATTATATACTAGTACTACGATGTTTATAATGGAATAAAACGTCCAATAACTGATATTTTCTCTCTTTTCCAAGTACATCATAATTCTAGAAAACATCAAAATTGATTGATTAATTTTCTTTCAAAAGAGTGCTGTGTAAATAGTTTATATTACTTTGTAACTATTGTCGTGTGTTATGATGAAAAGCCTTCAGTCAGTCAGTCAGCTACAACGTAGGACCAGGCACATATATGCATCGGTCCAGGTTGCCATACCGCATTAGCACAGCAAGATGAACACCGGATTCATAGCAGTGGTTAGGTCAAAGGTGGTAATATATGGGAGAAAGATTGCATATAAGGAAACAGTACAGGAAGAAAGATTTAGTTAGTAGAAAGAAAGATATGAAGTGATTTTAATCTCTTAGTTTAAGGGAAGACAGGGAGTGTATACACCTACGACATTGTGATCGATTCTGAGCCATGTCACCAAGAGTCTCCAACTATTGGTTACGATAGTCACGCGGACCCCAACCAAGTAGTCTGCATCTACCAACATGGCTCAGACTAGAAGTTAGTGTCTTCAAGCACTGACACCACGTTTTGGTTTGGCCGCCCCTAATTCTCTTCCAATCATCTCTAACACCCGTTAGCATTGCACGACGTGGTAATCGGTGTTCAGGCATACGCAACACGTGGCCCAACCATCTCAGTCAATGATGATTCACAACTTCATCAACTGATTTACCATCATTACCTAATACCCTGCGTATAACCTCACTATTACTTACCCGGTGATCCTAACAAACGCCAGCAATATTTCTAAGGCGTCTGTGGTCAAATATTAGTAGCTTACGGATGTATTCTACTCCTAAAGGCCATGTTTCGCTGCCGCAAAGTAAAACAGAACGGACTGCCGCGCAGTATACTCGTCCTTTTATTGATAGACGGATATCTCGCCTTCGCCAAAGGTGACGTAAGTTGGCAAAAGCCAAACGAGCTTTTCTAATCCGTGCTGAGGTTTCGTCTGATACCAGCCAATTAGGGCTGATCAGACTTCCAAGATAAGTGAAGTTGTCAACGCGTTCGACTACTTCACTCCCTATCCTTAGTTCAGGTGTTGACGCAGGCCAGTCCTGAAGCAGCAGTTTCCATTTAGAGGGAGAGAAGCGCATTCCAAACATTCTGGCATTGTTCCTTTGTGCTACCAATGACTCTGCACTTTGTCAGCGTCGTCACCAAACAGGACTATATCATCTGCGTATTCTACGTCGATAAGTGGACCTCCTGGTAGGAGATCAATACCCGAGAACTCAGTCGACGACAATGTTATTTCCATCAGTAGGTCTATGATGAAGTTAAACAGAAATGGAGAAAGTGGACAACCTTAACGGACACTACTTGAGGTTGCAAAAGTAGATGACAGTTCGCCATAAGCTCTGACTCGACTAGTAGTGCTCGAGTAAAGAGCATTTACAAGGTTTATGTACCTCTGGGGAACGCTTTTCAATGACAGACACTGCCTCGGAATCTTGCGGTCTACCGAGTCAAATGCTGCTTTCAGGTCAAGAAAGACCACCATTGTTGGACGCCGGTAAGTATGCCTATGTTATAGGACCTGAAGAATGGTGAATATGTGGTCGATGCAGTCACAACCAGATCTAAAGCCAGCTTGGTTCTCTCGTGTTTGCAGTCCACGAGTCTTAGTTAGGCGCCTGATAATTATCGAGGCTAGTATTTTAGATACTATATTAGTTAAACTAATCACTCTGTGGTTGTCACAGGATGATTTTGACCCTCTTTTATATACTGGGACGATAAGTGATTGCGACCAGTTAGATGGGATAACATCTAACTTTCAGATTTTAGCTAAAATATTAGTCAACCTAATCGCTAAAATTGGACCACCATCCTTAAAATTATCTGGAGCCAATCCATCTGGACCAGCTGCGCCTCCTCGTTTCAGATTAACTATAGCCTTTTGGACTTCAGCTAGGGTTGGGGGACCTACTTCAATGTTCCATCCACATTGTCTGGGAATAAAGGGTAGTTGTAGAATAGCTAAAGGCCAGCTGAACTGTTCTCTAAAATGTTCCGCCCATCGTTCTAAACGTCTGGACTGAGAGCAGGTGAGAGTATCGTCTTTTTCCGAAATAGTCTGACTTACACTTGACTTAGTAATTCCACCTTCTTTTATTAGTCTGTAGAGCTGTCTTTTGTTTCCTATAGCCACTGCCCTTTCCATCTCTTTTGCTTTCGTTGCTCACCACTGCTCACGGTCGTTCCTTAGACTTTTGCTTAACTCAGATCTGATTTGTTTACGCTCTTCATCATGTTCAGAACCTGATGGGATGAGTTTGCGAGAATCCATCAGTGTGATAGACTTTGAAGAAATCCACTGGTTCTTTGTAACTCTGTGGTTTAAGTCACTAATAGATTTCATTGCTGTTTCCACAGTTGTTTGTATATCTTTCCAAGCAACATCTGGGTCAGCCTCGTTTTCAGAACTACCTAAGTGTGACCTCAGTTGTTCCTGGAACCTACTTTTGGTTTTCTCGCTACTCAATCCAGTTCTAATAGGTCTTTTTACTGTGGCTTTTCTGCGTCCAGTGAGGCGCAAGCAGATGCGTGCCCGTAACAGGGCATGGTCGGAGTTCAAGCGGGTACTCCAGAATGAGCGACAATCTTCTACCGACCCTCTTCAACGATGACTGATGGCAGTATGGTCTATTTGAGTCCATCGTTGGTTTGGTGTAGGGGGTCGCCAGGTTAAACAATGTCTCTCCTTATGCTTAAAATTTGTGTTTGCTAAAAATAAACGATTTTCTGAGCATAGTTGCAGCACACGATCACCATTATCTGTTTGCTGAACCGGAATACTAAAATATCCACCCAAATGCTTTTCTTTTTGGTTTAAACTACCTATCTGGGCATTAAAGTCACTTGCTGCTATGAATACAGTGGTCCTGAATGCTGTCAGAGGTATGAGGACGGTTATCACTCCCCGGTTGCGCACACCATGGAAGGGTCCTTCTGGAGGTACCTGGGAAGGAAATTGGATTAGGGGTGGTCTTAGTAACCTGAGAGCGTGACCGCAGTGCCCAAGGGACAACTGCTTGAGGTCGGTCACACACGACCTTTTCATGGGTAATTTTTGTGTTAGCTCCGTACTTGTTGAGACCTTACCGCCGGAGACGGATATCCGTGGGATAAGGCAAGGTGTGCATTGTTAGGGTCGACCTTTTCTAACCCCACCCCTCCTTGTGGGAAGGCAGCATCGCTGTCATGCTGGTTGTCTGAAAAGCCTTCAATACTAAAGAGAGTGAGAAACTCATCATTGGTGAAAAGATATAAGAATAGAATTGTAATTGTTATAAGATTCCACTTGAAATTTGTGTTGAGGATAAATGTTAGTAGTTGGTAGGTATTCTATGATTATGTCAAGTAAATTACCCTACACAAACCATGTTGGCACCACCGAAAGCTGATTACCATCTTCTTTCATCTTATACACCAAAAGATCAGTCCTGGCATCGGTTTAATTTCAAATTGATGAACATGTTAAGAGTTTAATGTTAGAATAAAAAACACACCAATGACGCATAAACTACTTCATGCGTACAGTTTTCTCAACGATAACACAATTTTTACAATTGAATGATCATTAGGTAGTGACTAATGCCATGTATTTCAAGTCCTTCTTCGTGTTAATCGAATCCTATCGGCAAATTTGAAATGTAGCTAATTAGTCTAGGTGACGCTACATCGCTTGCATTATGTCGAGATGTAACGAGGTGGTTAGAGATAACGATCGATTTAAGAGCCAACTGTGCTTAAAACAATCAGTTCTCTTCATCATCATATCAAAATACGCCAATAAATTGAGAATCTCCCGTGCTAGATAGGTGACCATTTATAAGAACATAAGTAAAGTTCTATGTAAATGACTCAAATTCAAAACTTTTGTAATACGTTTTTTTACAAGTTTAGTTCTTATTCAGGACGTTCTTTCATAATACTTATATATACATTATCTATTCAGTCCATTTATGTAAACATTCAACATTGGTACAAACATAATATAAACGCATATTTTCTTCCGCTTTCAATGTCTGTGATTGAAAAAATACAGCTTCTTGTTTACCGCATCGACGACATATATGATCTTCTGTTCGAGGCAGTGTTGGATCATGAACAACATCCGGTACAATTAAAGCCAATTCACTTTAGATGGATAAAAGAAATACTATTTTATTTAAAAAAATATTCCATGAATAAATTAACAGGAAAAGTTTATAATTTGAAGTTGTACATTTCATAATACAATTTTACACTGACAAGACTATGAAACTGCTAGTGAGTATACCTCTGCTGGTCTAACTACCCTGTTAGCAGGACATAAATTGTATGAAATCATGCTCAGTGCACGATTGCTTTGGCGAACGCTGATCGGTTAATTCCTATCCAATCAGCACTAATCGATACTTGGAGAACACTCTATGATCTTCTCATGTTAAAACCGTAAATCTACTAACGTTTTTCCTACTGTGCTTCTTACTTCCATCTTTATCCATTCTGTCAAGCAACAAGTAGGATAAGGCACGATTCCCCCATTCCATCTTTATCTGACAGCAACCGGTTCCTCCACCCATCACTTGAGGCAAACATTTTGTGAACTGTGAAAACGTTTCTGGACTTGGATGTGGCTAGTGGCAGAACAGTAAAGAAGATTGTCCTACATGCCCTAGTATGATCGCGAGTGGACAGAGTCAGCTCTCCCCCTCGAAATGCTCTCATATGGCCACGTGTCTATAGCCTCTGCCAGGGAAGTCCTACTCACTGCCTTCTCGCGAAGGAGGGTGTTGTTTACAAAATTGAGAGGAAAAAAGCGAATATCCAGCTCTTTAATTGGGTTGGTGAACACACAGTCCACCTAGGGAAGTTGGAAAACCCTGATTCCAAACCAATGGTGCACATGGGCTGGCTCCAGGAACCTGAAGGAACAAATGGCGTATGAACCTATTATTGGTGGCTGGCTACCATGGGATTGCATCTCCTGACGTTGCTCCACTACCTAGTTGATTAGACCTACAGGTCGAAGGTCCCCCGTTTCGGTTTGGTACTCGGGCAGTATCCCAGACCTAGCACAAATCCAATGGTTTATGTGGAGCATATCTATTTCGTGCCTCTTTGTGCCAATGTTTATGTGCTTAAATAAATAAATTATTCTACGTATATCGAAAGCCGATCTTTGACACCTTTGAAACCATCAAGACAAAACTTTGCATTCATCAACAACATAGTAGTGTAAGGAATCCTGAGTTACACTACTTTTATTCTTTGACATTAAAGAGACCATGGTTCTTTGAGTGACCAAAATTCCACTAACAGTCTCATTGGTATTTTCGAAACCATCATTATTGGATGAAAAGCGTTGAACTGTCATCATATGATATAGTGAGGCGGTATGACATGATTGTGCAAAGTTAACAGACAATGGGGCGGTATGGTCAGTCAGGTGGAGTCTCTGAAGTTGTGAAACTAATTAACTTGAGACTCCATCAGTTGATGCAAAATAGAATGCAGAGACGAACAAGTTAAACAAATAATATGATTCATCTCGGAATTGCACTAAGCATTGGTTATATTCACACTGCAATCCCATCACTGTCAAAATAATGGTCATCTGAAGCGATTTCTTCTCTTATAAATACATTAAACTACTTTAACAAGATATGTGTGAGTAAAATATCATATCATAAGAATGCTAGTAAGTAGAACAAATAAATAAAAACGACTCAAAACAGTGGTATGGATACTTACTCAACTTCCTGTTCGAGTTTGTTGATATAAACACAGGGATTGTCTGCTTCCTGGGAATAATCACAGTTACGACATGCGTAGTATAATGTTTTTGTACGTTTATCCTCTTTAGGATACAACATGTTGTTGCATTCACTGCAGAACAAAATCCCAACATGACACTGGCTTGATTTCACATCATACTAAAATGTAAGTTAGAAAACGCTATCAGTAGAATATTCTGAACATACGGTTTCCATCCTTACTAAATCAATCCTTCAAGCGTACTTCTCGAAGAGACTGGAAATTCCAATCAAGTAACTACAAGATTAATAAATCAGACGACCACAATTTATATAACTAAACTGCGGAAACTGACAAGACATTTGATAAACACTTAATAATAATATACATAATTTATTTGATAAAGTCAGTCAGTTATAATCAACGTAAAATCTAGTATCTATATCTATATCTATATCTATATCTATATATATATATATATATATATATATATATATATATATATATATATACTATATATATATATATATATACTATATATATATATATATATATATATATATATATATATATATGCGTCTGTTAGCGGGACATAGACTAGATTAAAGCATGCTCAATGCATGATTGCTTTGGTGCACGCTGATTGGCTAATTCTTATCCAATCAGCACTAGTCGATAGTTGGAGAATACTCTGGAATCTTCTTATGTAAAAACTATAAATATACTGACGTTTTTCCCTATTGTGCTTCTGACTTGCTATTTGGAATATAATCTCTTTCCTGTTCAACCGTGTTCTGATTTGGGGACTTGTCGAGTGAATCGGTGTCCGAGAATACTAAGCAATAGGAATAGCTGGGTCATAACCGTAAGAAGAAAAGAGTTATAACAGTGGCGACGGGGAAAAAGGAAAACAAATTCAAGATGCCTATATCAGATGACCAGCTTAACCGAATACTACAACAACAGCAAGCACAACTTGATGCACAAATGCGGTTGTTGGAGACTCTGACTCAACAGCTCAACATCCACAGCTCGAGTTCACACGCTATTTCAAGTTCGTCTTGTGATGCAGTTGCTAGCAGCATCCCAGAATTCATCTATGATCCCGAAAATGGAAATACTTTTCTCACGTGGTTCAGACGTTGGGAAGATACATTTAGAACAGAATTCTGTAATCAAGACGATGCGTGGAAGACCCGATTGTTGGTACGTAAGTTGGGAAGCAACGAACATGCACGTTTTGCTGACCATATATTGCCAAAGTTACCTCGAGAGCTCAGTTTCGAGGAGACGGTATTTCAGTTGTCAGAGATATTCGGCGAGTCATCCTCGTTGTTTAGTATTCGATATCGGTGTCTAAATTTGGTGAAACGCGAAGCTGATGAATATGGTGTTCTAGCAGACATTGTCAACAGAGAATGTGAACGTTTCAAGTTACGCTCGTTGACTGATGACCAATTTAAATGCTTAATATTCATCAAAGCTCTTCAGTCACCACAAGATGCTGAAATCAGGACTAGACTTTTGGCTCGACTGGATCAAGACCCAAACGTCACACTCAGAACATTGACAGATGAGTGTAAGCGTCTACAAAGCATCAGACACGACAACGAGTTGATTGAACAGGTAAATCCTAATTTAACCTGCGGTAGTGTAAATACTATTACTAGGTTAAAAGTTCAGAAGCCGGTAACAACTCGTAACAAACCAAGGACTGCATGCTGGTTATGCGGTGATTGGCATTATGCACGATTCTGTCCGTTCAAGAAGCATAAATGTCAGGCGTGCAACAAACGTGGACATAAAGAAGGTCATTGTCCACCGAAGCGTACGTCTCAGCCTAAGAAGAAGCATAAACGTCCTCGACATGTGAAATCAGCTGAGTCGAAATCTCTTTCTCTGGTAGCTGCCTTTCAAACAAACTATGACATTCGGAGAAAATATGTTACCATCCAGATAAACGGCATATCAGCTCGTCTTCAAATTGACACGGCATCAGATATCACGTTAGTGTCTAGAGAAACGTATAACTTGCTGGGTAAACCGCCAATGAAGCCATCTAAGAAAACGGCTAAAAACGCATCAGGTGGTGTGCTAAAACTGGTTGGTGAATTACAGTGTGAATTTTCCTTCAATGGAACTAACTGTACAGGAATATGTTACCTAACAGAACGGCCGAACCTTGATCTTCTTGGTCTAGATATGTTAGACAAACTTGGAATAATGGATGTACCAATTAACAGTGTCTGTAACGTATCGTGTTCATCATTGGACACCCCAGTACTTCCAAAGAAGACAGGTGAAAGGTTACTAGGAAAACTGAAAAGAAAGATACGAACACATTCCGATGTCATCCGTCCTACGCCAGCTATTGAACCCCAACGAAACCTATCGATGGAGAATCAGTTTAACCGACATCATGGGGCACAAAGACGATTGTTCACGGTGGGACAAAAAGTGCTTGCTATGGACTATCGTGGGAAACATCCTACATGGACAGCTGGTCGGATCTTGAAAAAGAAGGGGAGTGTGGTTTACGAGGTGTCAGTTGGCTCGGAAGTTTGGGTACGTCATGCTAACCAATTGAAAGCAACTTCGATAGCCAGCAACAAGATTCAATATCGATTACCTCTTGATGTTCTGCTAGACACCTTTGAAATCAAAACGCCGGGAATAGACACGTCAGTTTCTGTGCAAGAAAAGAGTGATACTTCTCTATTGCCTAGACGATGGACTAATCGAAAGCACAGGCCAGTCACTCGGTTGCAGTTGGACCCTAGCACCAGATCCTACGAATCTGCTCAAAGGGGAGGTGTTAGCGGGACATAGACTAGATTAAAGCATGCTCAATGCATGATTGCTTTGGTGCACGCTGATTGGCTAATTCTTATCCAATCAGCACTAGTCGATAGTTGGAGAATACTCTGGAATCTTCTTATGTAAAAACTATAAATATACTGACGTTTTTCCCTATTGTGCTTCTGACTTGCTATTTGGAATATAATCTCTTTCCTGTTCAACCGTGTTCTGATTTGGGGACTTGTCGAGTGAATCGGTGTCCGAGAATACTAAGCAATAGGAATAGCTGGGTCATAACCGTAAGAAGAAAAGAGCGATTATAACAGCGTCGGTTCTAGTTGTGACACAAAATTAGCGGTGAGGTAAAATTATCATGAGAAATCTCATTGTAGTAGTAGTAGGAAAAAATGGAATAAGCTTTCGGAGTTCAGGAGCTAAGAGAAGATAAATAGTGAATGCATTTGCGTCGCTCAGGATGATTTTGATCCCTGTCACCGAAAATCTCTAGTTATTGATTACAATAAACGTGTGAACACCAACCTACTTGGCTGTTAGGTAGTTAATGATTTCATGGACTAATACAACGTTTTAGTTTGGCTACCCCAAATTTTCATCCAACCGGCTTCTGCACTAAGCAACATCGCACCCCAAGGTAGGCAGTAGTTGTGAGTACGTAATACATATTCCAACTACTTCGGTTGATCAATATTCACTGCCTTAACAGCCGATGTCCGATGCTTATTTCTAAAAGGATGTTTATGACGAGATTCAATGAAAATGCAGAAAGAAGAGAATCTTGAAGAACACCGCCCAAGGTTGTCAATTCTTATGACAGCTAACCATAAGCTCTAACTCAATCAGAATCTTGTAAGCAAACAACCTGTACAAGGTTGATATACTCCTTTGGTACGCTACTCAATGTCAAACTGCCAAGGAAACTCTCGATCACAAGTTTAACGTTCACTTAAGGTCGTCTACTATTACCTATCTCGGTTATCTTTTCCGCCAACTTTCCTTTGGAGAGACTCGACCTCCAAAAAGGTGGTCTTGTGTCCTGTTAGAAGTAGGAGGATATTTGTCACTTGCCAGTTCCACACACTATAGGAAGGCACTTTGTGAAGAATGTGAATGATGGACTAGATTAGTAGTGGTCTTAGCGACCTAAAAGCCTGATCAAAAAGCCGAAGATACAACTCCTTGAGTCCAATCACACACAACCGCTTATGAGATATTTCAGACTGTTGTTGCTACCTTGACGTGGTGGTCGGACTTCCCTATCGTGATGAAGCAACCAAACTATACTGCCTGGAACAACCGTTCCTCAGGTCCTACAATGTCAGACAGGTTGGTTGAAGAGCGGTAAGACTAAAAGCAACAAACCAAGGTCCGAAGGCGAAGTCGTACTGCTGACGGTACAGAGGTGTGACAGCAGTAAGGCGTTTCCATCGGACAACAAGCATGATAGCGACGCTGCCTTACCCATGAAAAGGTCGTGTGTGACCGACCTCAAGCAGTTGTCCCTTGGGCACTGCGGTCACGCTCTCAGGTTACTAAGACCACCCCTAATCCAATTTCCTTTCCAGGTACCTCCAGAATGACCCTTCCATGGTGTGCGCAACCGGGGAGTGATAACCGTCCTCATACCTCTGACAGCATTCAGGACCACTGTATTCATAGCAGCAAGTGACTTTAATGCCCAGATAGGTAGTTTAAACCAAAAAGAAAGGCATTTGGGTGGATATTTTAGTATTCCGGTTCAGCAAACAGATAATGGTGATCGTGTGCTGCAACTATGCTCAGAAAATCGTTTATTTTTAGCAAACACAAATTTTAAGCATAAGGAGAGACATTGTTTAACCTGGCGACCCCCTACACCAAACCAACGATTGACTCAAATAGACCATATTGCCGTCAGTCACCGTTCAATAGGGTCGGTAGAAGATTGTCGCTCATTCTGGAGTACCTGCTTGGACTCGGAATATGCCCTGTTACGGGCACGCATCTGCTTGCACCTCACTGGACGCAAAAAAGCCACAGTAAAAAGACCCATTAGAACTGAATTGAGTAACGAGAAAACCAAAAGTAGGTTCCAGGAACAACTGAGGTCACACTTAGGTAGTTCTGAAAACGAGGCTGACCCAGATGTTGCTTGGAAAGATATACAAATAGCTGTGGAAACAGCAGTGACAACTATCAGTGATTTAAACCACAGGGTTACAAAGAACCAATGGATTTCTTCAAGGTCTATTGCACTGATGGATTCTCGTAAACTCATCCCATCAGGTTCTGAACATGATGAAGAGCGAAAACAAATCAGATCTGGGTTAAGCAAACGTCTAAGGAACGACCGTGAGCAGTGGTGAGCAACGAAAGCAAAAGTGATGGAAAGGGCGGTGGCTATAGGGAACAAAGACAGCTCTACAGACTAATAAAAGAAGGTGAAATTACTAAGTCAAGTGTAAGTCAGACTATTTCGGAAAAGACGACACTCACCTGCTCCCAGTCTAGACGTTTAGAACGATGGGCGGAACAATTTAGAGAACAGTTCAGCTGGCCTTTATCTACTCTACAACTGCCCTTTATTCCCAGACAGTGTGAATGGAACATTGAAGTAGGTCCCCCAACTCTTGCTGAAGTTCAAAAAGCTATAGTTAATCTGAAACGAGGAAGGGCAGCTGGTCCAGATGGATTGGCTCCAGAGGTCTTTAAGGATGGTGGTTCAATTTTAGCGATTAGGTTGACTAATATTTTAGCTAAAATCTGAAAGTTAGACGTTATCCTATCTAACTGGTCGCAATCACTTATCGTCCCAGTATATAAAAGAGGGTCAAAATCATCCTGTGACAACCACAAAGTGATTAGTTTAACTAATATAGTATCTAAAATACTAGCCTCGATAATTATCAGGCGCCTAACTAAGACTCGTGGACTGCAAACACGAGAGAACCAAGCTGGCTTCAGACCTGGTCGTGGCTGCATCGACCACATATTCACCATTCGTCAGGTCCTATACTATAGGCATACTTACCGGCGTCCAACAATTGTAGTCTTTCTTGACCTAAGAGCAGCATTTGACTCCGTAGACCACAAGATTCTGAGGCAGTGCGTGTCATTGAAAGGCGTAATTCAGAAGTACATAAACCTCACGGCAGCGAAACATGGCCATTAGGAGTTTAAGATACTCGTAAGCTATTAGTATTTGACCAGAGATGCCTTAGAAATATCCCTGGCATCTTCTATGATCACTGGGTAAGTAATACTGATGTCAGACGCAGGGCATTAGGGAATGATGGTAAATCAGTTGGTGAGGTTGTGAATCTTCATCGACTGAGATGGTTGGGACACGTGTTGCGTATGCCTGAACACCGATTACCACGAAGTGCAATGCTAACCGGTGTTGGGGATGGTTGGAAAAGAGTTAGGGGCGGTCAAACCAAACGTGGTGTCGGTGCCTGAAGACAATATCTTCTAGTCTGAGCCATGTTGGTAGATGCAGACTACTTGGTTGGGGTCCGCGTGACTATCGTAACCAATAGTTGGAGACTCTTGGTAACATGGCTCAGAGTCGATCACAATGGCGTAGGTGTATACACACTGTCTTCCCTTGAACTAAGAGATTAAAATCGCTTCATATCTTTCTTTCTACTAACTAAATCTTTCTTCCTGTACTGTTTCCTTATATGCAATCTTTCTCCCATATATTACCACCTTTGACCTAACCACTGCTATGAATCCGGTGTTCATCTTGCTGTGCTAATGCGGTATGGCAACCTGGACCGATGCATATATATGCCTGGTCCTACATTGTAGCTGACTGACTGACTGACTGAGATATTCCAGACAAATCAGCTTTTTATTTCAAAAATGCCTTATCACCAGAGACAGAGATCAGTGGGTAAGGTATAAAATTTCTAGAGTTGATCTTTACAAACTCTCACTTTCCGTTGTGAGAAAGCAGAATCGTTGTAAGTGCTAGTTTCCTGAAGAGAAAAATTAACGGCTGTCAACTACTGTACAGTCGGTAGTACAAATTCACCCTCGAACCTTAATCTGTTTGGTTTAGTCTTACCAAAATAATGTACGCCAACCTTCAGTCGAAACACTTGATCCGCCACATTTGGTTTACCGCCACGCAACCTTGAAACAAATTGGTTCTGGAAGGAACAGAAGAAGCTTTTGCTAAAGGGCTTCCATATTCGGTAGTAGTGTATCACAAATGCCTCCAGATTGGAACCTAGGTATATCAACCATAAAGAGGAAGAATGAAAAGTGTTAGTATATCACAGTGAAACTGTCCTTAGACTTTAAGAATATGTCAAGTTTCTCCTAAAAGACTCCTGAGAAAATACTTGGACTAACTCAGCAGGCAGCGATTTCCAACATCTGAACAATCTTAGGAAGTAGGCGTGTCTTGTGCTGTTTGTGTGAACTAATTATCTCTTTCTACCTATTGACTGCTAGATTTCGGATTCCAAATGCAGCACATTCGTTCGTGTTTATCTAGTACTTCTTGAATAAATTGCGCTACTTCTGGGGTTCTTAGTTTGTACTATAATTCAAAAACTTTTAATTACCACAGTCTACAGTCCGTACTGCTGCGTTATGTCTCCAGCTTCTGGGTGTTACCGCTCGGCGTGAGAAACGATGTCTTTTCGTCATCTCCGCCTATGCCCCGACAGATTGCAGCCCGGATGCAATCAACGATGAGTTTTACCGCCAGTTATCTGTTCTTCTCCAGAAAGTGCGTTCGACAGATATTGTAGTACTAGCCGAGACTTGAATGCTCAGGTTGGGCGTCCAGGCACAGAAGAGAGTCGTTGAGGTGGCCGATGGGGACTTGTTGGTCGCAGGTCAGATAACGGGGACCGTCTACTCAACTTTGCACAGACCACAACCTGTTTCTGGCTACACTAACTTTCGGCACAGTCATCGCCGATGTGCCACCTGGCGTCTTGGACGATTGGCAGAATTTTTCGAATGATAGTTCGACTGGCCTGATGACTTACCTCCGGCTCCTTTTAAAGATGGTGGGGACTTCCCAACTAAGGAACTGACGACGTGAGTCGATAGTTGTCCCTATCTTTAAAAAGGGTTCACGTCGTTCCTGTAACAACTATCGGGGGATAAGTCTACTTCCGATTGCGTCCAAGCTATTGGCTTCCGTCATTCTTCGTAGGTTGTTCAAAACCCGAGAAAGATTGACTCGCGAGGAGCAGGCTGGGTTTCGTTCTGGTCGAGGATGTATTGATCATATCTTCACCCTCCGCCAAATGTTAGAACACCGCCATACTTATCAAAGGCCAACAATCGTAGTGTTTCTTGACATCAGGGCTGCCTTCGATTCGTTGGACAGGACTGTTCTCTGGGATTGTCTATTGAAGAAGGGTGTGCCTGAGAAGTTTATTAACATCCTAAAAGCCCTATGTAAAAACACCTCAGGCAGAGTGAGGGCATACAACCACCTCTCTCCATTGTTCCATTCGAGCAGTGGGGTTAGGCAGGGTTGCCCAATCTCACCATTCCTCTTCAACTTTGCCATCGATGACATTCTGGAAACAGCTCTGATGAATGTAAGTAATGGTGGTGTGGATCTGTTGCCTGGAGAAAGACTTCTCGACCTTGAGTATGCGGACGATATTGTCTTACTGTGCGATAATGCCCAAGGCATGCAATCCGCACTTAATCAGTTGGCAATCAGTGTCCGTAGGTATGGTATGTGCTTTGCACCTTCGAAGTGCAAAGTACTTCTACAAGACTGGCAGGATTCTAATCCTGTACTCACCCTGGACGGTGAGCAGATAGACGTAGTTGAGAAGTTCGTGTATCTGGGTAGCTGCATAAGTGCTGGTGGGGGTGTGAGTGATGAGATCAATGCACGAATAGTGAAAGCCAGAGCGGCTTATGCCAATCTGGGCCATCTTTGGCGCCTTCGTGATGTTAGTCTGGCTGTAAAAGGTCGGATCTACAACGCGTCGGTGAGAGCAGTTTTGCTCTATGCTTGTGAAACCTGGCCTCTCCGAGTTGAGGACGTTAGACGACTCTCTGTGTTCGATCATCGCTGTCTCCGAAGGATTGCTGACATTCAGTGGCAACACCATGTCAGTAATGCAGAGGTTCGGCATCGTGTGTTCGGGCACAGAGATGATAATCAATTGGTGTCACCATCTTGAAACACCGACTTCGGTGGCTTGGACATGTTCTCCGAATGTCGTCCCAGAGAATTCCACGTCGTGCATTATTTGCCGACTCTGGGACTGGTTGGAAGAAGCGGAGAGGTGGTCAGTGCATGACATGGTGTCGTGGCATGAAAGAAAGCTGCAAAGGACTGGCTTGTGTTGGTCCTTCACGACTCCCTGGTTGGGGTCCGAGAGATGGTGCTACACAGTGGCTAGAGACGTTATCAGATATGGCTCAGAATAGAAGCCAGTGGCGATCCTGCTGTAACCTTCTTTTACTTTCTTCATAAAATGTGGTTGTGTCTCCTTACCTGAAGGATTTCTTCTGATTGTACACTTCTGTTCTCCTAGTATTACTATTATTGTTATTGCTACACTACCTTACACCAATCTCTTCGTCATTGTTTTTTTATTATTTCTTACGTTCCTCACTATTTTTTCTTTTTAAATTCTCATTGTTTTGTGTGGCGCATATATATTTGGCGCACTTCTATACCAATATATATATATGTGTTCAAATAAATAAATAAAAGGGCAATATCTTGAACTGGTTGAAGTTAGAAATTAACGTCGTTGGATGCCGACCCAGTGGTCTACAGGTTAGGCGTTCGAGCGCGAGACCTTAGTTTCTGGATTCAATCCCGCTGCAGAATCGTGGATGAGCAATCCTGAAGAGCCCCGTAATAGGACGAGGTAGTCATCCAGTGTTTCCAGGTCTACAGTAATTGTCTAACATTGGTCGGTTTATAATCAAACTAACAACGGTGTCTTTTGCGTTAAAAAGAAACCTATTTCTTACTTATTTGTAACTACATGTTATTTAGTCTTTTTTCTTGACTGACTCAATGTATCACCTCTACTGAAGATGATATTATTATCTCGTTTTAATAAGTAGCTGAAGCTACATATTATTTTTCTTAATCAGAATGATAGTCATATTAACCAATCACTCAATGTATTATTCTATTTCGATCATTATTCTTACTTTCATAACAAGTGCATAATAAGGTAGCTGAAGTAAATTAACGACAGTGCACTGATTTAATGTGATATATCATTGAGTAACAACATATTCGCTAGCCTGAACAGTGTAATATTTAAAAGATCATCTGGCTAGAATTGACTATCGCTGTTAGTTATTCATAAACTAACTTCTGTCAGTCGAACAACTTCACTGTACTGTCTTGTGCGTAATACGTTGCCCAAAATCACTTCAATAGTTAGATCGATGGAGATATTTTGATGTAAGTATTGTTTATGTACATATAATTGTGCATATTCAGTCAATTTGAAACTTCTATTTATGCATACAGTTTTGCCATTCGTAAAATGGTTATCGATTCCAAAAGTAATTGTGTTCTACATTTTAAAGTACATTTTATGTTCACCATCCAAAAGTCAAAGTATGAAAATCAGTAACACGTCATCATCAATTCATACCAAATAACAGTATCGGTTAACCTTAGTCGATAATATAAATCAGTCTTCAGTCTGTGGCAAATTCCATGCTAATAGTTTATCTCACGTTTGCCTCGATTCGACTGATTAATACTAGATTGTCATATCACTATCAATTTTCCATTAACTACTATTCAAGGTCTACATTCTTTTTGTTGTTAACGTTTGTTCGTGTTTTCAACTAACCTGGATGGTAATCACTTAAATAGTATCATACTCACTTACGCATGTTACTCCTAATGAACCATAGGTCGCCGACCAGCATTCCCCAATACACTCTGTCCTAGGCCTTCCTTTCTAGTTCTATCCAATTGTTATTCATTCTTCTTATGTCTGTCTCCATTTCTCAGCGAAATGTGTTCTTTCATCCTCCATTTTTCCTTTGGCATTCAGGATTCCAAGTGAGGGGTTGCCTCGGAACGCAGTTGTGTGCTTTCCTTAATGTGTGTCCTATCCACTACCAGCGCTTCTTCCTGATATCTTCCTACTCTGGAATCTGGTTGGTTCTTTCTCACAGTGGGTTGTTGCCGATAGTGTTATCCAACGGATCCGATGTATTTCGCGCAGACAACTGTTAATAAACGCTTTTATCTTCTGGATGACGGTTTTCGTAGTTTTCCAAGTTTCCGCCAATACAATAGAACTGTCTTGACATTTGTGTTGAAATTTTCGATCTTGGTGTTGGCTGACAGATAGTTATTTTGAGTTCCAGATGTCTTCAGTTGCAGATATGCTGCTCTTGTTTTGCCGATCCACGCCTTCACATCTGCATTACATCCACCGAGTTTATCAATGACACTGCCCAGATAACTAAAACGTTTTTACATCCTCTAAAGCTTCTCTATCAAGTATGATTCGATTGGCGCATGCTATGTTGTATCACAGAATCTTGTTTTTCCCTTTGTATTTGTTATGATTTATTGGGGATTTTAAATGTTTATTAAAATTTGCGTTAAATTCGCGTAACTCTGATTACTATCGTGGTGTGTGTTCCTGATGTCGATAGATATAATTAGTATATATCATCAATCGAATGTAAAGATTAAGAAGATCAAAGAAAAGAGAACGAGAACAGTGAATGATTGGCGTGAAAACTAAAGAACAATGAGGTCTGAGACGATTGATTGACCTTTCGTAAACAAATTATTTACTGTATTGTTCTCAGATTTTACCAAAACTTCTATGTTACCATAGCCTTTCATTTAATCATTAACGACCAATTACTGGAAACCTAAATATTGTACAACCTAATAAGATGATGAAACGGTTACATTTCATCGATCACTTTTAACGACTCAGTTTTACGGAGAAAGGATAACAAAATTAGCATCATTAAAATAACTTCGCTGTTTTTTAGAGATTTGAAACCGTCTTTGTTAATAACAATAAATGATTCTATGTCTTGTCTCATTGGGAATATCAGTTCCAATAAGAATACAGATACTTCTTGCATATGTCATCATGAAATATAAATTTATAGCTATTAACAATCGTCCTTATTCACCTA